ACAGGGCCAAGTTCTAGGCCATCTGCATGCACAGGGCCAAGTTCTAGGCCATCTGCAACCACAGGGCCAAGTTCTAGGCCATCTGCATCCACAGGCCAAGTTCTAGCCGCATGGCTGGTGGAGTCTGCAGGTGTGCCCAATGTCCAGCAGCGACAGTATGGCACCCCCATCAGCCCCGAGGGCCACTACCCTTCACCACCCTGGCCTGCTTCTTCAGTTTTCATCTGCGATGTCCGTCAAACCGAACCATTGGGACACAGTGACACCCAGCAGAAGGGTGCCAGGGACCACCCTGCCCCAGCCTTGGAACTGAGGGGTCGCCGCTGTGATTCTACATGAAGAGTCCATTCCACTGCACCCGGGCCGGCGGGAAGCTCCAGCTGCTGGCAGTGGCTGTACCAGTGGCCAGGCGCTCCTGGCTGCTGTCTTCTGTCTAGCTCTGTGGTCACTGCCGCAGGCCTAGGCATGGCCTGGTGACAAGCTCTGCATGGCCGACCGGGAAGGGTCACTTTCGTGGGTGAGGAAGGAAACGTGTTTCCTGCAGGTGGGCCGTGCGCCTGCGGAGGGGCACGTCTGCTGTGCTTCCTCATCCTCAAGGGCCTCATCGAAATGGGGCTTGGGGGTAACAGCAGCCCCAGGTCAGGCAGGTGAGATTTTCTCTTACAGTAAGATACAGTGATGGAGGGGGCTGGGACCCCCTTCAGGATAAAGGTTTTCTTGCCCCAGCTGCTGGGGACACCACAGGCAGGCAGCTCATGGCTGTCAAGCCCTCTTCTGGGTGGCCTGTGTCTGGTGACCAATGCAGAATGCAAGCCGGCCCACTCACCTCCCATCCCACCCTCAGGCCTCCCCAGGGCCGGCGGAGGTGAGCCTGGCTTCTCTCTGCCCAGCCCTCCACCGCTGACCCAGGGCTGGCCCACTCACGAGCAGCGTCGTGACAGCAACCTCCGTCTCCGCCCGTTCCCACAGAGCCCACCCTGAAACAACCTGGATAATGTGTCCAGAAGGGAAGCAGATGACGTAGCGCCGATGACGGGCCACGCAGGATGGATCGCTCAAGGTGCACATTAGCCCAAGCAGAGCCCATGACACACTCAGGGAGGCCAGAACCAGGAAAGCAGAAAAACCTGAGCGTCCACAGTGACCGTCAGGAAGCAGGGGCCGCCAAGCACCCATGCGATGCTGTCCCCAGGTTTTCTGGGCCTCTGTGGATTGCGACCTCATCTCATGATTCTCGAGTGCAACAAATAAGCACGACGCGTGCTGGCTCCGTGAGGCTCTGGGGAGCCGAGTCTGCAGAACAGCCGGCCTTTTCCGGGCAGGGAAGGGCGGCCCCACAGGGCTGGGAGAGGTTGCAGCTAGGCCTAAACTAGGACATTCTATAAGGCAGCACAGATATAAATGCCGGCACTAGAAAGCTTCCCAGGGGCCAGTACTAGAAAGCAGTCTCTAGATGGAGAGGTGGGATGTGGCTGTCCTGCGCCGGCCTCGCCACGCGCTCCTCCCAGCACACGTCCTTGGCCGCCCACCCTCCTGGCTGCTTTCTGTGCTCGGGCTCCGGTCTTTGACCAGGAACCCCAGTGTGACGCCACTTCTTTACGCAGCGGAGCACATCAGATAGGCGGTGCCTTTACATCTGGAGAAAGCATACGCCAGAAGGAAAAGGTTTCCATGGACTGACTCCTGGTAAGAGGAACCCACAGGGGCCTGCAAACCCGGAGACCCCATGAGGTCCCGCTCTGAGAACTCAGCCGGCTCCCAGCCCTGAACTAGCTTTTCACCTGGGATCTTATGCAGCACTGACCCCTCAGCTCCTTTTTTCTTTGTCTTTCTCCTTCCCTTTTTATAATAAATTTATTACAAAAACCTGTCTCAGAAGAAACAGAGACAGGATTTAAGGCCGTACTTTTCTTGAGACGGAGTTTCGCTCTTGCTACCCAGGCTGGAGTGCAATGGCGCGATCTCGGCTCACCGCAACCTCCGCCTCCTGGGTTCAGGCAATTCTCCTGCCTCAGCCTCCTGAGTAGCTGGGATTACAGGCATGC